TAAGAAAAGGGTGGCCTGGGGGTTCAAATCTATGGAGGTTTGGTGAATAAGGCTGCCATGCTAAACATGTATGGTTTCTGTTCTCTGGAGGGGAAAGTTCGTATGTGTGCCAGTGGTCAAAAACTATCTCATAAAGGGTAAAGCTTCATGGAAAATTAAAACTCCTAAGACGCTTCTTGGGTTTTGGAGGAAATGCCTTTCTCTCAGGCCAGCAGTTCACCCTCTTTATATAAACTAGGAGGTGATGGCTAGAACACTTCTTTGGTATGACAATTGGCATCAACCTTGGCCCTATCCCTGGGAAAAAAGAATTTAATGGGGGGTTTTGGGACAGAAATCATGTATGATCGTGGCTTTAGAATGGGGAGCCAAAGTAGTAAAATTATTGTTGGGAGGTTCTTGGCATGTGGCCTTTTCCCAACTCCTGGTCTCAGGGAATAGACATCCAAATCAACAATTGCCTTCCTAACCCCTTGGAGAGGGATATACTACTATTTGGTCACTCAACCCTGATGGTGCCTTTCACAATTAAGTCTCTGTGGGATCTGGGAGATACAGAGATTCGTTGCTGTGTATAAACTTTGTCTGGGGCCATGCTACATCCCCAAAGTTAGCTTCATTGTTTGGTTGGCTATCTAGGCAGGCTGAATACTAGTGAATAGACGCAATTATTTGGAATCCCTTCAGTCTACCTGCCTTTTTGTCTGATTTAACTGAAAGCCACCACACCTTTCTTCGAGTGCAGTCTCACAATCCAGAATTGGCCTGTCAAATCAGAGGTAGTGGCAATGTGCAATTGCAACAGGTCTCTGGGCGCTGAGACCGTTTATATATTTGTTCGACAGAGAGAGTAAAGGTAAGTTCCATGAATCATCATCCTAGACTTTCTTTCTCACAATGTAATATCATGATTTGCTGAAAGAAACAATAGGAAGTTTTTAACAAAGAATGTAAACCTGTAGAGTGTATCATCAAAGTCTATTGTACTTATGGTGAGAATATAGAATGTTATCTGTTAGCAAGTTGCCTATGCAAGCAGGTGGATGATGGTTTCCTTTGATCAAATGGAACCGTCCTAGATCCATTCTGAAGCGCCATCGCTTACATGGGGAGGACCACTGGAGTGAGTGAGTGCAGTATATTGTGGGTTGAGTGGATATGAGTCTAACATGGAGTGTTTATCCTAATTAGCTGGTTAAGTGTGTAGGTGTGCTCACTGAGAGATGAAATTATTTGTGGGTGCGAGGTGTGGGGAGAACATATAGTCACATTTTCCATCGAAATCTGTGGGTTTGAGTTGATTTAGAATCTATGGAATGTTTTACAAGCTACCCTATATATAGGTTGGTATCTTTATTGCAGATTAAGGAAGCTTTAATCCCGAGTGTGGGTGGAGATTTCAATATTGTGGTTGAGTGGAAGTTGAGATCAAATTGGAGAGCTCTAACTTCTGCTTGGTTACTTATCTCATGGTTGCTATCTTCTGCTCTCATTGGCCGGTCCATTCTACTAATGTTTAAGCTGCATACGCAACCTGCAGTGAAAATTCGGCTGATAAACTAAAAAAGCTGTCGTGGAACCTCGCAATCTATGGGTCGTTCTACTATGTTTAACTCGAAATACTCAATCTGTGCAATTTTCGGATTTGTCATCTAAAGCCTGCAGTGAAACTCTCGGATTAGTCATTAAAAGCTGTCGTGGAACTCCAAACTAATGGGTAATGGCTGTATATGCGCTGCCAAAAATTTGGCTGAATGATCAAAAGCGTCTTTAATTTACTTTTGTAGCTATTTAAAACATACTAGTGTTTGGCTACTCTAGTGGGATGTATAGAAGAATATAGTTGGGTTTTACCTCTATGTTCTAGGTTGTTGGGTAAATATGGCAGTATAAGTTTCTCTGCTCATACCTAGGCCTTTGGCTGATATCCTTTGGAGGTTTTGTTGGTTTACTGTCTTATGTTGGCTGTTTGAATTTTGGCACCTGCTAATTTTGTTGATGTAAAGGCTGTTCCATCTTGGAGTTTGTCTTTCTTTGGTTCTTCGCTTGTGTTCATGCTGCTATTTCTCTTCGAGATAGTTTTGACATTGTGTGTACGGTTTCTTTTGTCTTGTTCTTCGTGTCTTATGCCCTCATTGTAAATAGCTCTGTAGGTCCTGGGCATGCCCTTGTAATCTTGGGACACAAACTTTATCCCAAGCAATCTTCGCACTATGCTTTCTAATATCAGTACCAGACCATAGGAAAGCTCTAAGGAGGCTCTCAATCTCCTTAATAACTTTCTTAGGTAAGATGAATAGAGATGACCAATAAACTTGCATAGAGAATAAGATGGTTTGGATGAGATGGGCCCTACCAGCATAAGATAAAAGTTTATTGGTCCAGCTACTAATCCTCTTAGTGATCCTATCAACCAGACATTTACAATCAGTGGCTTTCAACTTAGTGGTAATGAGAGGCACTCCAAGGTATTTGACGGGGAGCATACCCTCAGAGAAGGTAGCAATATGAAGGATACTGGCCCTTAACTCCTCAGAGCAGCCAGAGAAATAGATATTACTCTTGCTAGGATTCGGAGTGAGGCCAGAAAGAACACTAAACTCATTCAATCCTTCCATAATCAATCGAACAGTATTAGTATCACCCTTACTAAAAATCATAAGGTCATCAGCAAAGCAAAGGTTAACAATTTTGGTTTTCTCACATCTCCAATGAAATTTGAATAGAGGATTCTTAGACTTTTCCTCCATAATTCTAGCCAAAACCTCCATGGCTAAGACGAAAAGATAAGGAGACAGAGGATCTCCTTGCCTTAGGCCTCTAGCCCCTTTGAAATAGCCATGAAGGCTACCATTAATACATATGGAAAAGGATGGACTAGTTATGCAAGCTTTGATCTAGGTGATCATAGTTTGGGGAAAGCCCATAGCAGTAAGAATGTAAATGATAAACTCCCATTTGACAGTGTCATAGGCTTTCATTATATCAACTTTCATGGTACATTTAGGAACAGGGGAGTTCCTATGATAGCCTCTCATGATTTCCTGAGATAAGAAAATATTATCCGAAATTCTCCTGCCTTGCACGAAGGCAGATTGAACAGGATCAATGAGGTTAGGATCTAGGAAACTAATTCGCTTAGGACCCTAACTGTTCCATTAGCTTAAGTGGCCAAGTTTAACTCCAACAAATCTTACTTAGCATCTAAGAAAGAGAATTTACTGAGTAATTGCCACTTAACGATATTAGTTAAACATAAGCACCGCATTTAAGGTTTTCCAAATTCCCCAACTGTTCAATTCTCAAGCCCAAAAGGACGAATGTGAATTCCCTATGATTTTTTTTTCCCGTTTCTCTTTCTTTTCTCTAACTGTCTCTTCTATCTCTCAAGAAAAAAGTTTATCTCTAACTTTCTCTGTGCTTCTCCGTCCTTCTCTCTTTTGTTCTGGGAACTAATTAGCTTGGGCCTCTAATTGTTCCATTAGTTTAAGTGGCCAAGTTTAACTCAAACTAATCTTGCTTAGACTCTGAGAAAGAGAATTTACTGTGTAAACTGTAGCTGAATGATATTAGTTTAACTTAAACACCTCATTTATAATTTTCCAAATCACCTAAGTGTTCAATTCTTAACTCCAAAAGGATGAATGTGAATTCCCTTTGATTTTCTTCCTACTTCTCTTTCTTTTCTCTAACTTTCTCTTCTTCTAGCTCTCAGGATAAAAGTCTCCCTCTAACTTTCTCTGTGCTTCTCCATCCTTCTCTCTTTCGTTCAAGGAACTAATTAGCTTGGGACCCTAATTGTTCCATTAGCTTAAGTGGCCAAGTTTAAGTCAAACTAAACTTGCTTAGCCTCAAAGATAGAGAATTTACTGAGTAATTATCGATACTAGTTTGACTTAAGCACGTCATTTAAGGTTTTCCAAGTCACCTAAGTGTTCAATTCTCAAATACAAAATTTTTGGGTGAATAGGTCATAAATTAAAAACACAGAAAATTACACATATACAAGGGGCATGCCCCAGGCCCTAACCAAGAGAACAACAAAACAGCCTAGATCAACATGCTAAGAAACTGAAAACGAGCCAAAATTCCAAAAAAAAACATACAAAGCCTAATGAACTGTCCACACAAACCAACACAGACCCGAACATACAAAAATGTTCATGTATCCCATAATAAACAAATGGGAAAGATGAACACAATCAAACAGGTTCGGGACCATACAGACCAGCTTAACCATGCACATCCCATAGGTAAAGCAAGAGAGGAAGAAATAAAACAAGCATTCATCAGGCTTTAAAAACCAAATAATAAAATAAATAAAAAAACAAAAGTCCATCACATCATGGGCATTTCCAGCAGCCATAGTCAACCAAAAAGCTGAAGTCCATCCCGCAGCTGGCCCATATAGCAGATGACCTAGGATGCTATCCACAGATATTGCTCCTTTGCAAAAGAGGAACATGTCGAATAAAAACCATGTACATCTCACATGCGTACCATAATCCACAGTTCGAAACCCAAAAACAAAAAAAACAGAAATGCCATGCACATCCCCGCACGGATAGGCCAAAAGGAATTAAACACAACAAACCATCTATAATGTCCAACCATAAGAAATTAAAATAACGGAAAAGAAAGACAATCTTCCCACCAGAGGCGCTACAAGCAGCCATAACCACGCACCAGGAAACTCTTAAACCCGAAACATTTGTACTAGCAAACCAGCAATGACCATGGAGATGCAGCTGACCTCCCATGCAACCCATGCCGTGCTTACACTCTGTAGTAAACCCTGCATTGTGTAACTTGAAGACATTACAACCAAATGAAGGAAGAAGACCATACTTCAGGAACATAATAACAAAGCCCACAATATAGGACCTCACATCACTCAACCCACAGTATAAGAAACTCACACCACTCAAAAACAGCGTCCTTAGCCTGCATATAAAAATACTATATATGTAAACATTAGTGCAAACAATTTGAGGTCTAAATTCACTCAACCCACAATAAGCTACAGAAAGTGTTTGTTTCTCACAGCACTCAACTCTCAAGAGATGTCCATAAGCACAGCATCTGCAAAAATGAGCAAACAATTAGGAAACATAATTTTGCTCTCCTTCACTCAACCCTCATGTTGAGAGACTCACATCACTCAGCAGCCCTCCCATTCCTGAAAGGGGCTTCAAAACAATTTCAGGCAAGTTCCAATGAGATAGAAACCAGTTATCCCCTGGAGATCTGGGAAAGTTATTAACAGATAGTAATCTCCCCCTCACCATATGAATAATAGATTTGATATAATCTCCCCCTCACCATATGAATAATAGATTTGATAACAACCTCTTCAGGTTTAGAGACATTACTGAATTTTCTGTTATTCCTCTCAAGCCAAAGATTGTAAACAGTGCACATCAAAGCCAACTTAAGGACATTAGCTCTGAGAGTTTTACCCTTTTTTTCGGTAAGTAAGTCATAAAATAAAGACAATGAAATATACAAGTTTACAAGGGGCATACCCCAGGTACACCAGAGTTTTACCCTTAGTCTCTCCTGTAGCATAAGTAATGATCCCAGGCCAATGAAGATCTGGTCAGTTAACATTGCATTTACCTTGAATAGCATGTCAAACTCTAGAAGAGAATAAGCAATCAAAAAATAGATGAGAGTGACTTTCATTGGGATCCTGACAAAAGGAGCAGGTTGTGATCACACCAAAAGAAGACACTCTGTCACCAGTATTAAGCCTCTCCTGAATAGCAAGCCAGACAATAAAGCTAACCTTAGGTATTTTATGGGGACCCCAGACAAAATCATGCCAAGCTACTTTGGCAAACTTGGTTCTCCAGTGGTGCCAAGTAGACTTGATGGTGAATTCCCCATCAGAAGTGAGGGTCTAACTAATAAGATCATTACTAGAGGGATCAGGTCTACAACTCTCAGGAGTAGACGAGATCCACTCCTGAATTTCCCATGAGTTAGGGAAAGGCCAATGCCAAGATGTACCACGAACAATTTGACTAACTTTGGTCTCCCTATTAAAACCAGAATCATACAGAATTCTATCCCCATATCTATCCCAGAGGGGCCCAAGAGGATGCCAATTATCATACCAAAGGAATGTGGAGTCACCCTTACCTATCTTGTGGAGAATAAGAGGGGAGACAATCTTCCTAAGAGACAAAAGCTTCCTCCAAACCCAAGAAGGGTCACTAGGAGTGTTGACATTCCAGAAGCTTCTACCCTTGAGTAAATACGATTTAACCCATTGGCACCACATAGATTGTTCACCCCCGGAAAACAGAAACCAAATCTTAGGAAGAATGAAAAGAGAAGACCAATACACTTGCATAGAAAAGAGAATGGTCTGAATGAGCTGGCCTCTTCCTCTCTTTAACTTACCCAATTAAAAAAAAAAAAAGAGCTAGCCTCTTCTAGCATATGAAAGAATTCTATTAGTCCAGCTCTTAACCCTCTTAGTGATTCTATCAGTGAGTTGGTTACAGTTAATCGCTCTTAACTTAGTAGTAATGAGAGGTACCCCAAGATATTTAACAGGGAGGGTCCCTTCACTAAACTTAGCAACTCTAAGGATCGACTCTCTCAACTCATGGTTGCAACCAGAGAAATAGATATTGCTCTTGTTAGAGCTAGGAGTTAGGCCAGAAAGACTACTAAACTCATCAAGGCCAGCCATGATTAGTTCAATCGTGGGGACGTCACCTCTACAAAAGATCATAAGATCATCAGCAAAACAAAGGTTAACAATTTTAGTTTTGTCACATCTCCAATGAAACTTGAAAGCCGAGAGATGAGACTTTTCAGCAAAAATCCTAGCAAGAATCTCCACGGCTAGGACAAAAAGGTAAGGGGACATGGGATCCCCTTGTCTAAGACCCCTGGCACCTCTGAAATAGCCATGTAGGCTACCATTGATACTGATAGAGAAAGAAGGGCTAGTAATGCACGCTTGAATCCAAGACACCATAGTGGGAGGAAAGCCCATAGCTCTAAGAATATCAATGATAAACTCCCATCTAACACTATCATAAGCTTTCATAATGTCCACTTTCATGGCACACTTAGGAGTAGGGGAACCTCTATGGTACCCTCTCAGAAGCTCTTGGGAAAGGAAAATATTATCAGATATTTTCCTACCAGAAACAAATGCGGACTGAACAGGATCAATCAGATCAGGGAGAACTGTTTTAATCCTATTAGCAATAATTTTCGCAATGCACTTGTAAATGGTATTACAGCAGGAGATAGGCCTATAGTCCCCAACTTTTACAGGGTTAGGAACTTTAGGAATAAGAGCGATAATGGTACTATTGACTTCAGAGAGTAACTTACCAGATTCAAAGAAAGTTTTGATGGCTTGGGTGACCTCTCTACCAACAACATCCCAGGAGCTCTTAAAGAAGCCAGCGGAAAACCCATCAGGGCCAGGGGCCTTATTGGGTTTTAACGACCAAAAGACATCTTTAATCTCCTTATCAGACACAGGACTAGCAAGCAACAAAGACTGGTCTTGAGACAGCTTAGTTTTCACAAGAGAATTAATCCTAGCAAAACCATTATAGTGATCATCAATAGGCTTGCCAAATAAGCTAGAAAAGAAGCTAATGAAAGCGTCTTGAATATCCTCAGGCTTAGTAGTTCTAAGCCCATCATGTCTCTCAATACAGAGAATTTTACCCCGATTAATGTTGCCTTTAATAGACCTAAAGAAGAACTTGCTATTACTATCCCCCAAACCAAGCCA